ATGTACTATATATAGTATATCCATTTTTACAAATAATATTATAATTTTAAAATTTTATATTTTTTTAATTATATAATTAATGTAAATAAAAATTGTGCTAATGTATAAAGGAACATATAAGGATTCTTTGAATAAAAAATTGTACAAATTTATTGAATTTTGAGTACTCAGTGAATTTTATTAAATGTACTACCTGTAGTACAAAAGGTGAAATCCTATTCATTGACAATATAATTATTAAGTCAGATGTAATTAAAAATTAAAAAAATTAGAGTTTAGTTAAGTTATTTTTACTTTTAACAATATGTATAACATAGAGGTTATAGTTATATTATAATATCACTAGTCAAATACAAAAGAATCACTGTATTAAATGGTGATTCCTATATTATAGATCAGTTAAAAATCAACTATTCTATTACATCCTATATTATAAATCAATTAAAATTGAAATTCCATTTTAATATAGATATTCTTTTGTATTTGACTTGTATATATAGTATAAACAAATAAATATAATATAATACAGTATAAGTTTTACATGTTGTTTAAACCAATAATTTAGACTAAACCATTTTAAACTTGTTCATATTTTTTTTTATCTTTTAATTTTATTTTTTTTTATCTAGATCAATAGTTTTAAATATAAGTAAGTAAATAAAAGTTTTTTCTATAACAAAAAGTTCTTCTACATTTTATCTTTAGTTTAATTTATTGTATTCTAAATTTTTTAAAATCTTTTAAACCTTTTAACCTGAATTATTAGTTCAAATTAATTTTGACATAATAAAATAATTTGAAATTTGACACTATAATAATTTAATAATAATTTGAAATTTGTGATTTTGAAAAATAATTTAAGTAACATGTCTAAGATTTGTGAATTATTTACAAATAGCAAAAAACAAGTTGGAGTTAAAAATTTTGTCAATTTTTGATTATTTGACATGTTTTATCTGTATTATTTATTAGTTTTAATGACAAAAATCTAAATACTATTTCTAGATTTAATTAGTTTGCATCTACTATTCTTACAAATAGATAATATAAAATTATCAAGGATTAAAAATTTTATAATGTATTAATCAAAATCCTTGTTTTTTAAGTTATTCAAAAATTCAATCTTCCTTTAATGTTATCACTTTGTTTTTTGAGATTTATAATTTTACATAATTTGTTACAATATACTATAAAGGCAACAATAAAAAAATTCATTGACCTATTGATTTCAAGAGATAATCCTTTCAAACTGAAAGTCAGGTGAATATTGTTACTAGATATATATTTATAATAATTATTGTGAAGTTAAACAGTTAAACAAAGATTCATTAAGTTTTTTAAGAATAATTATATAACCAAAAAATATTTTATTTTTATCACCAATAATAGGATTTTATTCTTTATTTAAAATACCTATTTTTCTTGAACTTATCACTCTATATTAACACGGAGATTGTTATTATTATATGTATTGACCCACATATATATTTGATTTTCAATTTCTTAGTTGGGCTAATTATTATTGTCATTATATTACAAATCACAAAAAATTATTTAAATGTACAAATGTATAAGAATTTTCTATTTTGTGTAATCAAAGAATAATATGTAAATTATTAAGAATAGAATAGCCGCAACAATGAGAATTGAGATAATGACAAACAGTATACTTTAAAAAGACAATACATTATTTACATAACACCAAATGCTTTTTTAATAACGAATAATAACAGTTAATTACGATTTTCTTATTTTGGTAATTAAGATTAGATAATTATATAATGATATGTATAACTGGCGTTAAAAGAAAATAATGTATAACATTTTAGAACACGATATTCAATTATCACTTTTGTTGCATATTATGTGCGCAATAACTTCGTACAATAATAATAGATGCAGCTTTCATTAATATAATGAAATTATTCCATTTAACTAAAAAAGGCCTTATAAATTAATACAGCCAAGAAAAACGCGGAGTCAAGGGATCAATTCCGATTAATAATCTAAGATTTTACCGATTTTTATGATAAAAAGATTTCTAGAATATTTGTTTTCCGTTTTTTTTTTTTTTTTTTCTACAAATAAAGACAATTAATTGGAACACATTACACACATTACGGATATTAGTGGATTTGTAAATATTAAAAATCAGTTATCTCGCATTATCTTTACGTAAGAATAATTTTAATCTATTAGCATAATAGTTATAATAGTTATAAAGTGATAATGTAGTGATAATGTGATTATAATGTATTAAGTGATGTATTCGAATATAGAACGTTTAATATTAATTAAAGATTAATTAGAGTATTAAGTATTAATTATATTATATATATTAATATAATAATAGACCTGAGTCAAATCATTATTATTTTAAATCACATGTAGTGGCTTGTATTGCTTTATTGCTTGTACTGCTTCATTATTCACTACGTTCATGTGGGATAACAATGATTACATTATAAATTTCTATATTTTATTGTTGGCGTTTTCTGTTCATCAAAGAAAAAATTTTGAACGTCAAAACTTAATGCATTGGGAGGATTTCTTTGATATCTCCTGAATGGAATTCTCCTAACAAAGTAATTTACAATTGACCTTGTAAATGAATAAAATGAATAAAATTATAAAATAATCTAAATAAATAAATGATTTAATATAATAATTATGGAATAATGGCTGTGTAGATATTAAAGAAAAATTGTCATTTATAGTAAACTTATTTATATGAAATAAATTATATAGATGGGTATTAAAAAAAAATAACAAATAACTTGACATGACATAACAATGATAAAGCGGATATTTAATAACAATAATAATAACGGTAAAGTTTTATCCGAATTTATACCTATAAAAAACAAAATATATAATTAAAATATTAAACTATATATTTTCACACTTTAATTTTTGATAACTGAAAATCTTAAATTCAATTATGATTATTTTTTTTTTTTAAAAAAAAAGACACATGTCAAAATATCAATGTGCAACGATATCATAATGAATAATTATAATTATAATTACAATTATTATGATAAAGATGTCAAGTCGAATTTTAGAAAAACCTTGGCGTTTTTCTTATGAGAAAAAAAAAACTCCCCAGCAAGTTCAATCCGGAGTACTGTTTAATTAATGATTATGATCGGCGAAAATACCGTTTAATCTTTTAATAGAAATTATTTATGTAATAAAGATTAAGTTTGGAAAAAAAAACATGACAATATTAGAAATATTAATAAGATTTAAGAGAAAATGGCGCGATTTATATTAATTTTAATGAGAAATACAAAAATAGAATTTTGTCTAACTCGTTAATTCGTCAAATTATCGAATTTTTTTTTTATCGACATGTTTAATTTTATATTTTTATATTTCCTAAATGGTAATAAATAAAAATATCCTAAAAATATTTTTGATCACACGATTTGGATTTATTATTTAATTGTTTTTAATCTTAAAGTCAACGCTAATTTATAATTTATGCGCCACATAAACAATAAAGACAATATGATGATTATTAATTATGCAATAATATTTATATCGAATATAATCTCGACTTTACTTTTTTCACACGTTCCAAAGTCCATCAACTGACAAACGCGGAAGTGACGTAAAACGTGTTCAAATGTTGAATAATTAAATTTCTTTTTATATATATTTATGTCGGAAAATATTAAGAATACGAATTTTTTTTTTTTATAAACCTGATCGAATCTCTTTTTAAATATATTAAAAACTGGGTAATTTTAAATACTAAAAATGGAAAGAATCTTTGAATCTTAATTTTTATCGAACGTATGGGTAGATGTTTTTCGAAATTATCTTACTAATCTTTCTCAAGTCTTGTAATAAATAAGATTGTATCTATGTCATATTTCGCCTTTGATGCATAAGCGAAGTGTACAACTCTAAGAGATTATCTCAACCATGCATAATGTAAAATGTTACATAATCAACTCTCCAATTTCAAATTTCTTATGCAGTAGAATTCAAGTCTCTGACTAAAAACTATCATTAAAATAAATGATAAAATTCAAATTGTGATTTCTAAATTTATTAAAGTAAATCTTATTACGGTTTAACGTTATATAATTATATATATATTGATAAACTTTAATTATAATGAAAAAAACGAGATTAAAATTCCTTTTTTTTTTTTTTTTTAAAAAAAAAAAAACTTTATCAAATAATATATTTTTAAATGCATTCAATATAAACGAGGAAAAAGACAATTTAAGTATAGGTTAATGAATGTGTAAGATTAATTTTTTTATTCAATGGAATTTCCATTTAAATATAAGTATTTTAGTGGTGATTTCTTTCTAAGAAAATGCTTAAAATATTTATACATATATATATATATATATAAAATAGTAAATAATTTTTAGTAAATAATTTTTGAGAATGTAAATAATAAATGTAATTTTCTTTCTTTCTTTGTATAAAAATATATATGTCAAACAATAAGAAATATAAAAATAAAAGAATTCTAAAAATAAAGAATGTAAAAATGTAAAAAATGTAAATCAACTATAAACAAAAGTCTAAAAAATCTAACAACATATCTAATTTGCCAGATATAAATTTTTTTTTTTTTTTGTTTTTTTTTTATGTTCCCTTGCGCCGCCTCTACAATAATACAATTCAAGTATTATTAACCAAAAAGAAAATAGTAATTTATCTTTCTTTTAGAATAAAATATGATTCATTCTTTATTTACTACAACAAGACCAAATGCTACTGTTGTTATACGCGCATATAAAACATTAAACCTTTCTATCCTAAATATATATTCCAATCTATAAATTTTTAACAAATAAATGCGTTCAAAAAAATTCAAGAAATATTAAAATTATGCGCGTAATATAATGTTTTTCTTCCATGTACAAAGACGTGTGTACAATTTTCAAAACTGAAGTAATAGTGACATACTCTAACTACAAGTACACGTCCTTTCCATAAGAAACAACAAGAAACAATCAAATTCAATCGATTTATACAGTCAAAGTTAATCGACCTCCATTTTCTCCAACGATTAAACTTGATGATTTTTGGGATATAGTACCGCATCCCCTTCCAGAATATTTAAATTGTTCTTTGAGAACAAATAAAGGAACATTATCTTCCTCATCAACTCCTTCGTCCTCATCATCATTATTTTCATAAATGTCAATTGATTGTTTAACATTTAATAAATTTGATAATTCCTTAAACATTGGCGGAAATTCCAAAGTATCATCGAAAAATTTTATAGTTTCACATGAATCGTTAAGAGTTGTTAACGAAGATAATGAAGATGTTGATGAATTTGATGATGAATTTCTGACAAGAGTATTAGTGTTACTAGTATTACTGGAGATACTGGATTTACTTAATCTTCTTTTTCTACGTGATAATGGTAAATCTCTTACAACAAGTTGGTTTAATTTATCATCAAATACTGTAACAACCTTCGTTGATGCATAGGATGGCCTATATTTCGTAACTATTGGTGATCCGACATGACATTCTGCGAGGAATGCGTTCAGTTTATTTTTAATCGTGGTCGTCGTATCAATTCGTCTTGATTCTGGTGCACATAAAGTTGTAGTAGATTTAATTACACTATAATTTGAATCATTCAAGTTTTTACTGTTAAAATTTTTTTTACTGGTCTCATATACCCTCATTTTATATTGACGCAATTCTTCACGTTGAAATTTTGGAAATTCGTCGGTTTCCGAAAGTTTATTTATTATAGTATTCAAAGTGACGTTTTGATATAATGGTCTTTGCCGTTCCCGTATTTTACGTAGAGTCCTTATATAAGCAAAATGTTCAATTGATTCACGTACAATATAAGTGCCTTCTAAACAAGAATCCTTTAAATTATTCATTTTAATAGGTTTTACTTTTAGAGATGGTTTACATGGAGTCTTTGATATTACAGCCAATTCATAAATATCATTTTGATTAAATAAAACTGAAGGTATTAAACCTTTTTCAGAAAATTCATCATCATCTTCAATCCAATTTGGGATAGTGATATTAAAGATAGTTCCATTTCGACGGTTTTTATTAGTTGACTTGATTTCGTTGGAGTCATCTGGCAAAGATTTTGAACGTTTAAGAGATATTTTCTTGAAATCAAATGAAGAATACGAAACGGTGGTACTAGAAACTTTGGAACTTTTCATTGAATTTGTGGATTTAATTTTATGTTTATCAATATGAAATAGGCTGATAAATTTCGATGATAGAGAGGAGAAGAGGGAATTGGAGTTATCTGGTTGATTTGTTGATGGCATATTCTAATATTTTTATATTTTTAAATTTCCCCTTTTTTTTTTTCTTTTTAGTAAAAAAAAAAAAAGTATTAATGAGAATCAAAAATTGAACAAATGGAATAAGGAGAAACTCAATGAATGATCAGAAAGTGGAGGGATAATATAAAAAGCGGTATTCTATATTTATAATAGACATGAAGATGTATATATATTAGGAAAATAATAAAGCGAAAAGTTAGTGAGAGGAAGAAGAGGAAGAAAAGGAAGAAAAGATAACCGAAGAAGAAATAAAGTAAGGTCTTACCTTGATAAGTGGAAAACATTTCGAGCAAAAAAAAAAGCGCGATAGGAAGGATGGAGATAGTAATATAAAACATAAAAAAAAATAAAATAAAAACATGAATAAAGAAATAGGGAATTTAATAAATATATAATGAAAATAATTTTACTTACAAATTGAAGATATTAATTTTTCTGAACAAGATTCATTAGTTTTTACAAGAAAAACAAAACTAAATGTTCTTTTTTAGATAGAAGAATTAGTTTATAAATGATGGAAGAAGATATGAAATTTATAAGTTTCTTTGGGGGGGGGGATAACAAAGAAACGCTTTACTTTTTTTTGCCGGTTAATAACTATCAATTTATTTTTTTTTTTGGTAGTATTAACCGTCTAGAGGAATGAAATGAAAAAAAAGAAATAATCACAATTATTAAGACTGCTATTTATTAAAACTAGGAAGTTATTTGGTCTTTTTTTTTTTAAAAAAAAAACCGATTAAGAGAATAAAAAAAGATATTTTGACAACACCATTATTATTTATATATAAAATTTATTTTGGGAAAGTATAATGCAGTAGCTAAAAAGTAAAAAAAAAAAATAATAATAATAATAAAAATAAAAAAAAAATTTTTTTTTATAGTGAAAGTGGCTTAGCTTAAAGAATAATCATTCGAATCGAATAAATTAAAATTAGAATAAATTAAAATTAGAGTAGATTTTTTATATGATCAAATTTTCGAAAGGGAAAATTAATTAAGTGATATTTAGAAGTGTAATAATTTATGTATGTGAGAAGAAAATTTTGGGATAAAAAAATTTCAAGATGCAATTGTTTTTAAATCGGGTCTTTTAATAAAAGCAGGAGTAAGAATAAAATAATGTAAGAAAAAGAAAGAAGTGATACGTGATCGATAAAGTACAATTTCAACATCAAACATCAATACGATATTTTATTCTCATCATTCTCATCGAGTAAAGAATCGTAATTAAGTAATAAAGAATCAAAAGGGCGTAACAATTAGGATATAACAATTTAAACGGGTGTCACATCACATATTATTTGCAGAATTTTTTTTTTGGGTAATGTTTTCTATTATTATTATAGCTTTTAGATATTAATAGAACAGTCAAAATTTTGATAATTTTGATAAACCACATGCATAGTAGTAATTTCGTTGCAAAATGGCGTTCGGGCATATGAATCCTAAAATTTTATAGATAAATTCAAATTCTTTTTATTCACAAATAAAAAAATTTTTGTCAGACCTCAAGTACATGTATTATCAAGATAAACAGTATTTTTTACTTCAATTTATACAATTTATACACAAAAATATAAAAAATACCAATAAAATGAATAAAAATGACAAATGTGACAAACGTAATAAATGTGACAAACACGAAACAAATGTGATACAATAACGTAAAACATAACAATGTTACAAATGTATAGTATAACCAATCAAATAAATTTAATTTTAATTAACCAAATTTAATGTTTCATGAACGTGTTTTTACCATTTTTTTTTAAAAAAAAACTATTTACGTGAGTTTCGCTATCATAATTACGTTTTATAAATAATTCAGAGTTTATTTCATCAACTTTATACATTTACAGCACGAAATGACATCACTTTTAAACACTGAAGTTTGGATAAATTGAATAAATTAAATATATTGAATAAATTAAATATATTGAATAAATTGAATAAATTAAATATATTGAATAAATTGAATAAATTGAATAAAATTGAATATTTCTTACAATAAATAAAGAAACTTATTTTAATCAATTTTCTTGCCAAATTTAAAAAGGAAGAACATTATGAATTTATGTGTTTACTGTCCGTATTGCAATTATTACAATTATTATAATTCAGTAATATCCACAAGTTCTTAATTTAATCTTTGAAACGAATAATAAAACTCTAACAAAAAGACATATTAAAATGATAACTTGTAACTATTAAGTTATCGCACGATTTCTTTTTTTTTTTTGGAGGATCCAGTCGATAGAATCTGAACAAAAGAAACAACTACTATATTGCCTTCATAACTATTGTGGAATTTCAAATTTGTATGTCAAAAGTCAAAATAACTCAATCACGTTAAAATAAACTCAAAAAGGTAAAATCTTAAATCAGTGATTGATTGGATTTGATAAAAAATTGTTTCAAAAAAAAAAAATGGCAACTTTAAAAAACAAATCTAATCAAGAAGAATCATCTATGATAATAGATTCAGAATTCATTTCAACTTCGATCGATTCTGTAGAAGTGGAAACAAGGAATACCGGGAGAAATGATATGTTAATAGATAGTAAACCCATTGAAAATGTCAAAAAACCAAATTTTCGTCCAGCTAAAAATTATGAATTGAATGTAATTAATTTTTTTAAAACAAAAGATTATAATAATATTCGAAAAGTTCCTTAATTCTAGAGATATGAAATTCACATTATTTTATACGTAGGGTGGATTGTCACAAATACGAAGAATATCTGTTCCTCCAAATAGATTCACTCCTTTAAAAAAAGAATGGGAAAAAATCTATGATCCACTTGTGAGACATTTAAATTTACAAGTTCGAATGAATACTCGATCAAAACGTGTTGAATTAAAGGTTAAACCATTATTTTCGTTGATTTCTATTTTATAAATTTCATAATATTTATTTATTAATTATTTATTAATAATATTTTTAATGTTCATTATTTCATATTCTTTAAATAAAAATAAAAATAGACATCAAAATATACTGATGACCCATGTTCACTTCAAAAAGCTGAAGATTTTCTCAAAGCTTTTATGTTAGGATTTGATGTTGATGTGAGTTAAGATTCTAAATACAAAATTCTAAATTTAATTGATTTATCAAAGTATTGTCTTTCTTATAAACTTGGAGATTTTAGGATGCGATAACAATATTACGTGTAGATGACCTTTATATTGATTCTTTTGATATTAAAGATGGTAATTTTTATTTTAATCTTCCTTTTCATTACATTTTTAAATAATGAAGTTAATAAAGTGCTAAACAACCTAATATACTTGATGTATTTAATTTTCTTAATATTTTTAGTTAAATCTTTGGAAGGTGATCATTTATCACGTGCGATTGGAAGAATTGCTGGAAAAAATGGTGCAGTGAAATATGCTATCGAAAACACGTCAAAAACTAGAATAGTTCTAGCAGAAACGTAAGTTGTAAACATAATAACAAAAATGACAACAACAACAATAATAATAATAATAATAATAATTAATAATTGTACAATTGTTAATATATTTAATATATTTTTAATATATTTATATATTTTTAAAGGTCAATTCATATTCTTGGATCCTTTCAAAATATTAAAGTTGCAAAAGATGCAATTGTATCATTAATATTAGGTAGTCCTCCTGGTAAAGTCCACGCTAATTTAAAAGTTATTTCATCAAGAATGAAACAAAGATTTTAAAATATAATAAAACTTAATTTATTTTATATTCTTACTCTGTTTACTGAAATTATCTAAATTTCCTACAAAAATATTATTTTATCTTTAATGAGTTTGTCTTATGAAAAGATGAAAAGATGAAAAGATGAAAAAATAAAAAAATAAAAAATTATTTAAGAAAAGTCCTTAATAAATAATAATAATAATAACAATAATAATAATAACAATAACAATAATAATAATAGCAATAACAGATAAAAATTACTAATATTAAAAGATAAATAAAAAATGGATTAAAATATTGAGAAGGTAAATCTATGAAATATTATATATATAGATAGATAGATATATATATATCTCTCTCGAGACAGTTACATTCAAAATACGATAATAAAATGTCATTTATTTAATGCTTTTCCGTACATAAAATAAATTATATGCAGCGCGACTCTAAAAAGAATAAAGAATTTCAGATTAGTTTATTTATTAATTATGTTCAAATATTTGAAATATTTGATTGAAATAATTACCTTAACATTTTTTATATCACACACAGAAACACGACTATCATCAAAATTGTGCCATTCTTGTCTATATCCATTTCGTACACAAGCTGTATAATGTCCTCCATTTAAGCTACCATAATGATTTGAAACTGCATATAAATCATAAGGACCTGTTTGTTGAAGGTTATTAAAATTATTTAATCCTCCTATTCCCGGAATATTATTCTTCGTTTTTTGTGTTATTTCATATGGCATATATTCTGTTAAATCTAAATTCCTTATAGGAAAATCGACATATGTATCTAATTTATCTCTGAATGGTCCATTGAATGAAAATCTTTTAAGATGTATCAATAAAACATCCGGTAATCGTGAAATTGTAAGTTGTTTGGTGGCTTGTCTATGGCATTCACATCTGGAACAATACCATGAATTATCTCCATCTAAAATCTCTTCTTTGACGAAATTTTTCAAGCACATTTCTAAATTAACTTGTTCACCTTTACGTTCTTTTGGAATAGGCAATGATAAATACATAAATTCACTGTATGTTGTAGATGTGTTCTTACAAGAAGAGCATATCAATTGATTACGGAATTGACCTTGAAATAAACTAACAATTACAGAATTATTCTTTCTCAAATATCTTTCCCACATTATTTCTGATACTATTCCAGTATGTAAACTTTCCATTTGTTTTTCTTCAGTTGGTGTTAACTCTTTAATTTTCTGTTTTACGTTTAAATCTTCATGTAAACCATCTAACAAAAATTCAAGAAATTCCTGTGAATCATGTTGATCTGATCCCGAAAATTGTGGTGCAAAACGACCAATAGCCTCTTTAAATAATATTGGTGAAACAAAAGTATATTTATCATCCCACATTACTCGAATTAATTCTGCGAATGCTTCAACCAATACACCTTTAGAACCTAAAGGATTGACTTTATTTATATGTCGTTTGTAACTACCATCCAAAAAGTATCTAGCAAATGGAACTGTACCACTTAAACATTGAATAATGGAATTCATAAAACAAGTATTTCCTAAATTCTTTAAACCAGTAGTTCCAATTCCAGATCCCAATTGAGAGAAGCTACTTTCTGAAGTTGGGAGACGATGATGATTTTGTTCCATGGGTGAAGGTCGATTTGGCATGAGAATTTGAGTATCGTTATTAGGTACTGAATTCATAGAAATTTTAGAAATATTTTCATTATGTTCATTTGAAGCAGATACGGGAGTTTGTGGTAATGGTTTTTTTGGTTTTGGTGGTATTGGTGGTGGTTTTATATATTCTGGATTATTTACTTCACTAAAACTATAATAAGGATGATCAAATATAGTTTTACGACGTTTTAACGAAGTTTCTGATTTAGATGAATTTGAACTTTTACTAGTATTTGTCTGCGAAGTTGTCGACGTAGGTGAAGGTAATGGCTTATTTGGTGGAGGAATAGTAAATTCTGAATCGGAATTGTAAATATTTTTATTATTATTATTATAGATCTGATTTGTTAAATAATTTAATCCTGTCATGGACTGAATTTGTGTGCCACTAGGTTGCGAATACTATAATAAAATTATAAAAATTAAAATTTGAATTAATTGAATAAATATTAAAAATAAAATATTTGATAAATTTGATAATAAATAAATTAAGTTCACATATTCAAGTTATTATTATAAAATAACTCACAAAGTCCATATAGCTTTTGATATAACTACCAAAATTATTAACATCATAAGAATCTATAATTTCTTTCGGAGAGGACGACAGAATTCTTAAAATTTACATTAAAATGTAAGAACAATAACCGTAATATCCAATTGTTTTTTATATATAATATCAAATAATGTAAATACCTCCGGTCATTTTCATCACTCCTCAGATTATTATTATTTTCCCGTTCATTTTGATTAATTTGTATAATATTTTGTGTAATATTTTTTGTAGTATTATCTGTATTACGTTCAATTCCTGCTTCACCTGTCAAACGATACCAAGCGTTAAATCCTCCATTTAATAATACTGGACTTCGTTTTAATCGCTTCGTAAATTCTGTATCAAAAATTGCTTTATACAAATATTGCATAGTATCATTACTATTATAGATCGAAGAAGAATGCGAAATAATTGATTTATTTATTGCTGATTTAGATTCTGTAACATAAGATGAATCCTGATTATGGTACACAACCAAATCAAACTTATGTCGATCATCGAAAAGTTCCTTTTCGTGTTTAGGAGAGAAAATTAATTTATTCTCAATATCTATCGATGAAATTCTGTTTTAAAAGATAATATATATATATTTGTTAAATTCTATATTAACATCCTAAAAGATATAAAAGGATTTTTTTTTGTTATTTAACTTGCCCATTAATTAAAAGAATTGGTTCCAAGCAAACAATGTTCTTTGTTTTGATGTGACCTTTTTCAAATTCTGTTCTTAGTCTAACATCCAAAACTAAAATTTTTGGGGAATCTTCTTTCATATTTAAATATTTTTGTAACTCTGAAGCTTGAATCGTATTATTATGAAATTTTAAATCATCTAATTAATGGGGGTTTTTTTTTTAATTAATTAGGTAAAGAAATATTAGAAATATTAGAAATATTAGAATTATTAAATTTTTTGAATTATTAGAAGAGGTATTTGGAATAAGAGGTTTAGAGATTGGGATAACTTTTGATTCATCTTTTTTATTACTTGATTTGTCATTATTATTATAATTCTTCAAATTCTTCATGGAATCTGGATTGAATCCATTGTTTTTTAAGTTCTTTGACGTTTCATTGATAGGTACCATAGAGGTTATATTTGAATTCGATGTTGATGTTATGTTACCAATCATATTATTTCCTACTATATAAACCGGTGAGGGTGACAACCCTTGAGTCGTTGAAGGTGAGATCGGTATTTTTGAGGGTTGATTAGAAGTATCAATGTTGGCTTCGGCTGATGATCGAGAAAATGAATGTGGTTCCGGCATCCGAATAATCTCTTGTTTTTGAGTTATTTCTTCCTTTTCGTCATCCCTTGCTTTTAATATATTTGCCGCATTTTCAGCTTCAGTCAAAATTTCCTCAACTTGCTATAATTAGCGTTGTATAGTGTGCGTGATCAGGAGTTATATGAAATATTTTTATAATTGGGAATGTAAAACCTAATTTAATAATTTAATTAATTTAATTAACTTTAATTAATTTTAATTAACGAGCTTACTTTTTTCAAATTTCGATAGGATGTTTCTAGAGCAGGGTCCTTTTCAAAGGCCTTATCTAAATTCTGTTTTGGCAATTTCTCTAACACAATTCTTTTTTTTTTTTTTTTTTTTTTTTTTTTTTTTTTTTTTTTTTTTGAAATTTTTTTTTTATAATTTTTTTGTTTTTTTTTTGTGTGTGGTTGCG